GCTGCGAGAGGCGGGAGCGTGGGGAGTGAGGGGTGGGGGGGGGGGGGGGACAGCTGAACACATGCTGCCAACTGTGTGTAGGCACACTGTGCTAATCAGCTGGGCAGGCCCGATCTAGCCCCCAGGCCTGATTTATTACCCACCCCTGGCCCAACCCACAACATTTAGAGTTCCCATGCAGTCTGCTGTAATCATATTCTGTCCTTTAGCAACGCTGATAGTTAACATGTATATAATGTTGTTAGAGACCTAATGATTTCAATATTTTAATTGTAATTTTATTGCCTCTAAAATGTATTTTAACAAATGGTGAAAAGCCCAATCTCTACCAATAGGAAGTGAGGTGAAAGACAACATTTATTTGGAAATGGTAAAGCTGTTCTTGTACAAAGGGAAACCGTAAATAATTCAGTATAAAACAATATTCCTCTTTCTGAAAAGAAATACTAGATATTTTTCCTTCCTCTCACTCCAACCCTCAACAAAAGGCCACATGTATTCTTTGTTTTTTAAAAAAACTGGGTTCTTGCAAACATGATTTTGGAAATTCTACTCCAAAAAAAGTTAATGTGTTGAAAGTCCAAGGAATGCAAAATTTGTCTTCCAAATATCTGTAATTTCCCTTGCTACACTGAACTTTGTACAAGGAAATTACTCACCACAGAAACCCTTTGAATGCTGACATCTTTTTTTTTCATAGTGCAAGTTGTCAATAACGTTGGCAATGAGAGCTTACAAAAGCTAAACAAAAAATTGATTTTTCCCCAGAATAGTATCAGTGGAACCTGATATATATATAAAATGAATATAAAACAAACTCAAACATTTCAAGGCAAAGTATTTGCAAAATTTAAAACACCATTCTTTTAAAAATTACAGAATTCATAAACTGTCAAATTTAATACAATATTATCTTTTAAAATGTTTTCAAAATAAATCCAGAGCCTCTTAGTGCACTTAATGCTTTTTGATCTTTTTCTCTTTAACTGCTATTTTTCCATCCAGTGTTTAATAGAATATTAGATTAACTTATATCTATTCTTAAAGAGTTTGGTGTGGGGGGCTGTATGTTTATAGGGAAGCCCTCAACACAAGTCATGAAAGCAAGCAGTTTCCAACATGGTTAGTTTTCATCATGGTTAAATTAAGACTGTGAACCTTACCAATTTTTTGTATAAATGTCCAGACTAGTGAACTTTTATTTCTTTAAGTCCAAGTTATATGGAATACATATAGTATACATAGCTGCCTCCTGCTTAATTGCACTGAATAAGAACATCTTTGTTTTTCCATTGTACAGAATATGCATGGAACCTTCAATTAAAAACAAGTGCTTGATTGCATTGCTTGTAATTATCAGAAGTTGATGGCCCATTTCACAGGGATGAGTTGGAAGACCTAAAAGAAAAGCTAACATTCTGTGTTTTGCAGACGAAAACTGGGTCACTGTTTTAAACCAGGTAGATTAAAGTCCCTTTATAGATTTCAAGAGTCCTTGCATTTATTATTTGCATTTATAAATTTACTGATCTCCTTCATTATCAGTTCTATCCTTCAGAGTCTCATTTATTCCAACTCAATGTTTCCAGCATATATGGTAATCAGCAGTATAGCAGCAAATCCTGTTAGTAAACCAGCATTCTGAATGAGGAAGAAGGTTAAATCTGTTTTTCTGCCAGTCACTTTCTCTCTCAGCATATCATTCATCTCTGGGAACTAGAAGAGAGATTTATATTTTAGGTAACTGTTGCCATCTTGTGGTAAAATATATGTAATTTAGCATCTTGACAGACATTACTTGGCTAGCACACTACCTTCTACATCCTAATGACTTAAGTACCCATTGTTTGGTTGGTTAAGAACAATTTGCACCTTCTCTATCAGCTTCATGTAACATGAACACTCTAATTCACTATTTTTTCCCCTTCCTTCTTTCCCCCTCTTCTCACCCCCTATTTATTTTGGAACTGGACTTTTAATACACCATTCATCTGAGGAAGTGGGTTGTACCCACGAAAGCTCATGATACCATCTACATGTTTTGTTAGTCTTAAGGTGCTGCTAGACTATTTGTTGTTGGTTTTTTTTGTGATTTTAATTGTAATTTACAGCTGTTTGAATCGTAAACCTACTAGAAAGAAAAGGGAGTGGCTGGGATAGGTCAAAGGACTCAGTTCACCAATGATGAGAGAACTGAAATGGTGAGCTGTTCTCTGCTGTAGAATCATCGAACACTAGAACTGGAAGAGACCTTGAGAGGTCATCGAATCCAGTCCCCTGCCCTCATGGCAGGACCCAGTACCATCTAGACCATATAGTTTAGAGCAGTCATCCAGATCTGACTCACTTCCTTCATATGACATCAGGAATCTATGGGCCTGCAGATGTTAATACAAACAACTGCTGTCATCTTGCCAAGTTACAAAATTGTAATACAGAGGATGTTATGGTCTGTCATTCCAAGCACTTCTGCAATCAGACATCTTATCTAGGCTCTTTTAAGGGAATGTAAAATAAAGATGTTGGGGTGCATCTATAAACTAACACAGTGGAACTGAAAATACATATAACCTTTCAGAGCCCCTTCGGTGAACTGTCAGATGTGGTGCACCAGGGCAGAAGGCACACCGGCTCTCTGGTGAGATCTATCCCTTCATCTAAGGCCCAAATGCACAAAAGGGGCAGGCTCTAATAAAGGAAGATTGATGTATTTTTAAATCCATTTCAATAAGAAAGTATGATTATTCAATACACTGGGCCGGAAGACTGAAGCGCCATACTGTAGAATTATTCATGATTCCTAGCAGTCAGTGGAGACCTTGTCATCAAAGGTGACTGACAGGAGACCTATAAACTAGGGAGACCTTAACACCCATGTCACAATCCCTTTTAACCTACAACGAGGCAGTCCTTCACATCTGTGTTATCATCCATAGGATGTTCTCAGGTGGTCACAAGTTCCACTCACCTGTGGTCACACATGGAACTTTTATATTTAATTTGGATACGTATAAATCCAACACAAGAATTACATTGCTACCATGGATGGACCGCCCTCTTTTGCTAGTGGCTAGCCAAGCATTTCTTCATCTGAGAAGGAAAAGCTTTTTTACTCTGACTCAGTAAGTTTCCACTACAGTGTTACATAGCCAGATAGTCAAGGTAGTGGCATAGGTGCTGATTAGAAGCCATCCTCCTTACACATGCACACTGCCTCCACAGATCTCCCAGGTTTCTGGGCCAATTACTACAGAAACTGTGGAAGATATAAGACCATGCAGCCACTATCTAAAACACACCTGAAGATGGAGGACTCTGTGACAAGGAATTCCTTCAGAGTTGCTCCAGTATCATGTAGAGACAGCCATTTTCTCATCATCTGTAGTGAACACAAAGCCTATGTCCACCTAAGCTAGGGTATGTCTACACTACAGCGCTAGTTCGAACTAACTTAGTTCGAATTAGTTAATTCGAACTAAGCTAGTTCGAACTAACGCATCTAGAACTAAAAACTAGTTCGAACTAGCGTTTTGCTAGTTCGAACTAGTAAGTCCACATTGAGTGGACTCTGAACAGGGCTTAAGGATGGCCGGAAGCAGTGCCGGCAGGGCATAAAAGGAGGACTTAGAGCATGGAGATACTGTCTCAGGCTAGCCGAGGGCTGCGCTTAAAGGGTCCCGACCCCCACCCCGGACACACAGTTCTAAGGGGTGCCCCGCTTGCAAAGAAGTTCTGGCTTGGAGTGCCCTGAGTGCCCACACTGGGCACATCACACCACTCGGCCATCAGCCCGGCTGCACTTGCCGCAGGCTGCCATCTGGGGAGAGGGAGTAATTGGGGGGCTGCAGGAGAGCTTCCACCCCCAGAAGCCCGCAGAGCCAGCCCAGTCCTCCCCATCGGGGGCTCGTACCCCATTCCTCCCTCACCTCCTTCCACTTACCCTTCCCTAGCCCCCCTTCTTATTGATGTACAAAATAAAGATAACGTTTCTTCCAACATTGACTCTGTCTTTATTGAAAAAAACTGGGGGAGACTGGGAAAAGGAGGTGGGAGAGGGGAAGAGAAAGGCTGGGAGAGGGGAGGGCAACTAACATGATCAGGGGTTGGGAACAGGTCCCAGATGAAGAGAGGCTACAGAGACTGGGACTGTTCAGCTTAGAAAAGAGGAGACGGAGGGGGGACAGGATAGAGGTCTCTAAAAGCAGGGGTTGGGTGGAGAGGGTGCATTCAGAAAAGTTCTTCCTGAGTTCCCATAAAGAAGGACTAGAGGACACCAAAGGAAAGGAATGGGTAGCAGGCTTGAAACTAGTAAGAGAAAGTTGTTCTTGACAAAGGGCCTGCCGCAGCTGCTCCCCCAGCAGTGCAAAGAGCTCCAGGGCCGACAGGGTGAGTAGATGGGCCGCCTGGGATGCCCTCACTGCTAGACCCGCGGCAGCCTCCTCCTCTTCTCCCGCAGGCTGAGGGTCCCAGTGGGTGGGAGGGCTGCAGCTGCCTTGTTTTAGGTGGGGCCCACTGAACAGTTTGAATTGTCCTGGGAGGAGATGACAGAGAGCTGGTCTGATGGTGGTCAAGGTGAAAGGGGCTTGGGACTATAAGCAAAGAAGCTCTCCCCAGGTTTTGGTCCCTCCTGCATTTAGAAAGACAAGATTGTACCTAAACCCGACCAGATCAAAGGAAACACCGGATCCCATCATCATTTTGCGCTCCCGAAAAGGGCAACCACAATTGCAACTGTGTTGGGCTCTTTGAGGGGTTGTTAAGTGAATTCAGCCCAAATCGTTAACCTGTCACGTAAGTGCTGATCTGATGAGTGATCTGGACACACTCTGGGGGTATGTCTACACTACAAAGTTAGTTCGAACTAACGTAACTTTAATAGGTGCTACACTAGCGCTCCGCTAGTTCGAATTTGAATCGAACTAGGGGAGCGCTTAGTTCGAACTAGGTAAACCTCATTTTACGAGGACTAACGCCTAGTTCGAACTAGCTAGTTCGAACTAGGCGTTAGTCCTCGTAAAATGAGGTTTACCTAGTTCGAACTAAGCGCTCCGCTAGTTCGATTCAAATTCGAACTAGCGGAGCGCTAGTGTAGCACCTATTAAAGTTAGTTCGAACTAACGTCCGTTAGTTCGAACTAACTTTGTAGTGTAGACATACCCCTAGAGTGTACATTGTTTAAACCTCAAGCTCCTCCACAAACTGCTAAAGAATGATGGGCCTTCTCTGACCAGGCTCTGTGTGTGGGCACAAGCAAACAAACAAGCATGGAATAGATAATGCCCCACCTCCCTTAAGCCCCATTTAAACAGCAGGAGATCCTGGATATATTACCTTCTCTAAGCCTCTCTACAATTCTGAACTAGGCTTCACAGCAATGAACATTTAGCCTCTCTAATGACTCAGGCTACCAATTCTGTCTACCAACTACCTTGAAAAATGCAGTAGTTCAGCTAGCACTCTAGATTCACTCTGAGCTGCACTGATCGGGCAAACTACAGGGTTTCCGGATTAACTTAGCTAGCAGGTGTTAGTGACAGTACCCCAAAGTATTGTCATCCTTCCTAACAGATCACACTCAGAGGACAGTAATAGTTAATGGCACTTTGGTAATCAGTGGTCTAGTCTCCAAAGTTCTACCATGCCCTGTCAATCTTACAGGACATCTGGGAAAGATTATCTGCTGCTATGGCTTTAAATGCTAAGAATGTATGGAGGACAGGGCTATTTTTCCCTTTTACCTCTCCTGTACACTATGCTGCTATCCTGCACCTAAACAACATCAGCCCTTAGATAAGAAGCATCTGGCTGAACCTGAACCCAGGGGGAAAAAATCAGGACTCATGCTAGTGGAGTACAGGGAGATACTTCTCCAAACTGGACAATGTCATCAGTGCAGGTTTACTCCACCATGGACAAAACTATGCAGCCTAGAATTCCTGGGCCATGTCTAAACTAGGACACTATTTTAAAATTACTAAATTTGACTTAAGAACTCCTGATTATAACAGATTTGAACTAGTGTGTCCTCACTACAGGGAAACATCAAAATTAGTCCTGGGTAGGCTCCATTAATGTGGAGACCGTACCTTGGACTCAAAGCCCCAGGAAGCACTCTGGGAAGCTGGAGGATGCCTCCTGGAGGCCAATAAGTTCGAATTAGTGGCACCAGAGCACCCAAACTAACGTTATTTCAAAACTACTATTTTGGAATTAGCCTTGCTCCTTGTGAAAAGCAGGTATACAGAGTTCGAATTCCATAGCCCATTATTTCAAAATAACAAGCTTGGTAGTGTGGACGCACCACTGATTGAATCGGCACTAGACACCAAAATAACCGAGAAACTTATTTCAACCTACAAGATGACAGACACAAACCTACACACAGAGATCCAATCGTGTGTGACCTCCAGGCTCTGTTGTTATAGCCCCCAATCCAAAATGCTAGAAACCTAAATTGGTGCAGAATGCAGTTGACTTTTCTGGTGAAGACAACCCAGCAGCAACTTCCCATACCCATCTTCAAATGATGGCGCTGGCTACAGTCAACTGTTGAATCAACTTTAAAGTTGTAATTTTGGTTAGTTTAGGTGGGTTGCTTTTGGGTTTTTTCTGCAAAGTTCTCAGTGAGGTGATAGCTCAAACTGCCTCTCCCTCTGTGACCTCCCTAGGCAAGTGCGATCTCCTCAAACAGGTTAAGATTAATGGGAGCAGAAGAT